ATTGGGGACCTCCAAGAAGGGCAGGGAGGCCCCAGGTGGCCACTCCCCTCCACCCCTGATGGCATATCAGGGGTTAATTTTTCTGTTCTTTAACCAGGAGTGGGCATGGAGCTAAAGAGAATTATTCTGCCACCTGAATACTCTAATCTCATCATGCAGTAAGACCACCGGATTGGCTAAATCATTTGTTCATTTTTGCATACACAGAACGCCACCCAATCAGAGCAGTGTGCTGCTCACCCAGGGATCACCCACAGGTCCCTTTGGAGCAGTCGTCAGCATCACACCGAGCTCCTGGAGCCAGAGCTTCTAACCTCCATCATCAGGGATGCTCCTGCACCAGCGTGCACCTCTAATTTGACACGTAAAGTAATGATGTCCTGAATGATTTCCTCCCTATGTAAATCAGAGCCAGTTTAAGGCTAGTTCTTACACTGTCACATCTTGTAAACTCTTCTACTGTACTGCACAGGATAAAGGGGTGGTGGGTGGGGGGCCCAGTGGCTTTCAGGGGTCATGTTTAACCCTCCCTCCTGGCATAGCTGCTTTAAGTTATTCTCCTAAGAGTAACTTTATATATATATATATATATATATATAAAATAACTTTATTTTTCAGTTATAGTTGACATACAGTATTATACTAGTTTCAGGTGTACAACATAGTGATTAGGCATTTATATAACTTACAAAGCAAGCATCCCAATAGGTTATTACAATATTATTGAATATATTCCCTATGCTGTACTTTACATCCCCGTGACTATTTTACAACTACCGATTTGTAGTTTTAACCCCTTCACCTTCTTCTCCCATCCTCCCCGACCCCCATCTCATCTGGTCACCACCAAAATGTTCTCTGTATCATCAATGAGTTTGTTTCTGTTTTGTTTGTTTGGTCATTTTTTAGATTCCACATGCATGTGAACTCACATGGTATTGGTCTTTCTCTCTGTTTCACTTAGCATAATACCTTTTGGTCTACCCATGTTGCCACCAATGGCAAGGCTTCATTTTTTATGGCTGAGTAACATTCCACTGTTTATATGTACCTCATCTTTATCCATTTGTCTATGAGTAATAAATGTTCACACATAATAGCACTTTTGTGTCTGTTAACTGACTTAACTCTCACAACTGCCTTGGACAATGAGGACTATTATCATATTGAAAGACGGACTCTTACAAACTATTATCATTATCACTCCATTTTGAGGATGGGGAATAAGAAGGAAGTTGCTGCCCAGAGAACTGAAGTTACTTGCTCAAGGTCATACTAGTAACAAGTAGCGCAGCCGGGTGTTAAACCCAGGTCCTTCCGCGGAGTTTATTCTTGCTCTTAACCACTTTGCTAGAGAAATTCCTCTTGATTAACTGCCTCTTCTTGGACATTACATGTAAGAGCTTCTATACTCTTACGACTTTGAGAAGTATGTTTCAGCACCCTTATTTTACCTAAGGATCCCCTGACTAGTAGATGGTGAAGCCGGGACTTGAATCTAGACCTGCCTTATGCCCACATGTCTATTCTTTGAGATATAAGACTATTTCTAGAGGGGGATACCTCTAAAATGCCTTTCTAGTGGATTAGTTAGGTTGTTTGTCTACCTAAATCTTTCTTGGTCTCAGTAATCCAAATCAAATGTCAAAGTCATACTCTAAAAGTATAAGTAAACAAATAAATAATAAGGTAATATTTGAGAGCTCACTACGTATCAGGCACCGTTCTAAGAACTTCACAGAGATAAATCAAGTTTGACGATAAACCCATAAGTGCTTAACTAGTTTGGAAGTGCAGAGTCAAGGGTCATAAATAATGTATTGTTAAATACGTACATTCCATTTTAAGAGAAAAATAGCTGCTGCTCGTCACAGAGGACACGGGTGCATTCAAGATTAAATGCCCTGTGTGGGCGCTAAAACACACTCCTGCATTCTGCACAGCTCCGCTGAAACCTAAGAGGCGAGATTGTTTCACGTGGCCCACACATGATGAATCTTTTTCTAAATATTTGAAACCCGAAAAGGGACACACTGTCCTTAAATCTAAGAATACATCCAATGACTTGAAAATGTCAAAACCTTGAAACATGGAACCCTTCCTGTCTTTTCTGAAGAGTCTGGTTTAAAAATATTTCTATCAGAATGTGAAGCTGGAAAGGAAGAAATGAAGATAAAGGTCACTAAAGGGTACTGTAAGACAATCCTTGGCCACCCCCAACATTCCTTGTCTGCTCAGCGGACTCACAGTCCTTTCTAAATGAACAGAGTCTGCTTCTCCAGCTTTTAATGATCAAGAAAAGGGCTGAGAAACATATCACATACTGGCAGCAATGTAGCCATTAAACTTGAGGAGGCAGGGAAAAGGGCAAGGAAAAGGCAGGATAAAGTCCCCGCCCCCACCACCACACTCACACACACACACACACACACACACACACACACAGAGACATAAGCCCCCAAATGAGCTGATACACACTTTAGGTCATCCGGGCAATCTGAAGAGCAGACACTGGGGACCTGCAGAGAAAGGTGTGAGGGGAGGCAAAGGCATTTGAGGGAGCTCTCGTATTGTGACAGAAAATTAAAAGCGTATTCAAAGACCAGATGCTCTCAGGCAGGCAGCCAGTCTCCGGGCACTGTAGTGACTGGAGGCGCTGGTGTGCATGAGGAGCAGGAAAGCACCGTGCTGCCGAGTACAGCACTCCTCCCTGCTTCCCAGAGGCACATCCTAGAAGATGCTAGAAGGTCTGGCCATGAAAGGAATGGCCCACCCACACCTGGCCCCCCACAGGGGCTTGGCAGATGGCCACTGCAGCCCTTCTGGTGCAGGCCGCTCTCCGGGGAAGTGGGGGACAGAGACCGTCAGCAGCTGGGTGAGGAGGGCGATGGGTAAGCTGGGTTTCTTCGGAGTCGCCGGTGTCTTTCTCCCACCCCCCGGTACCGTGACAAACAATGTCACAATGGGAGAAAAGGTCACCACGGACGTGTCTGCGCCCAGCCAGGAGTGTGTTCGCAGTGAAGGGAAACCCCCAGAGTGCTCTGTGGGGCGGACAATGGCCGGCTGTGGCTCGGTCCTGTCTGATCATCATTGATAACATCACTGCGTTTCCCTCCTATTTTATGGGCGTGCCAACAGCTGGGAAATCCACATAAAGGCATTTATTTTAATTATCACTTGATGATTTTATGTGCTGCTTTGAGCCATTTTAGTCCCCTTTATACCTCCTGTGCTCAATTAACAGTCTCAGGATACTCCACTGGGTTCACTTCGGAAAATGCTCCCTCAACATTTCTCCCTGTAACTCACAGCCGAGCTCACGATCCAGTAGCTTGTTTTGTCCATGATTACCAATAGATACAGCTGGAGAGAAAGCACTTTGAAGAGTCACTTTCCATCGCAGGTTCGATTCCCAGTCAAGGCACATGCCTGGGTTGCAGGCCACGGCCCCCAGCAACCGCACATTGATGCCTCTCTCCCTCCCTCCCTCTCTCTCTCTCTCTCTCTCTCTCTCTCTCTCCCCCTTCCCTCTCTAAAAATAAAAATAAATAAAAATAAATAAAGTAGCCATTCAAAAATATTTTTTAAAAAAGAGTCACTTCCCTATAACTTGGTTAGAAAAAAATTAGTCAGATTTGAGACTGTGGTAGCGTTTCGTTTCCAACATAAGTAAAACACTTGTTTACAAAAGCAGTCAACCCTTCTCTATCCCAGCGTTTGTATGCAATGTCCTTACTCCTGCAAGTCCTCAGGGTCCCCAGGAAGGAACTCCTCCCCAACCCAGAGGAGCCATCTCAACTCTGAGACTCACCTGCCTCCTGGCTCCCTAACCCAAGGGAGCGATGGAACAGAAGTGTTCGCAGACAAGAAGGGTACTTCTGCGAGGTGGGAGTCCCCGCCTCCCTGGACAGCTCCCCATTCATTCCTCCGCCCACCCCTCCCACACAGAGCAGGCTCCCAAAACACAACAAAACGCAGGGTGGCCACTCCACCCAATCCCCTCCAACCAATCCCCTTTGGACTCTGGGGGAGAGAATGAATTTCTGCTTTCCTGAAAACAGGAGCTCTTTACCGAGGCCTCTGCAGTTCAGCTTAAGTACAGTGCAAAAAGCTTAGAAGTTTGGACTTGCAGAAATAGCTGCGTTTCCTGGCTGCGGCCCTTTTAAACCAGGTCGTTTTTAAATGCTGTTTCAAAGTCTGATTACATTAATAAATGAAACCATCCAATCGCCTACAAGGAGGATTGAGAGCCGTATGCAGCGACGACTCGCCCGCGAAGGCAGGGCACTCGGAAAACTGTTCGGTGGAGGGAACAGTTCATCACTTTCCATTTCTTTTCCTTTTTAAGCAACTTCCAGAGAAGAGGCTATTTTAAATACATCACGAGTCAAGCCGCCTCTAGGTGGATGTCAAACAGGACGACACCTCTTTTTTTGAAAATGAAAACAACAACATGTGCCGGACTTTGAGAGGTCCCACACACAGCCTGAGGCTGCTGGGAACAATGAAGCCGGGTTTCGAGATGACTGGCGCAGGACGTGCCCATAGAAAGACGTGTTTCACGCACTGGTGCCGCCGCTCAAGTTACTCCTGCAAAGTACCCTGAACTTTTTTAAAGGGCGGCACGGGATGACTCACTCGGCCGCCCTCCCCTCAGTCTGGTCGCCTCACAGACACCAGCCGAGGAGATGTTTGGCGGGAGGGGGTGGAGGGAGACCCGCGGACCCGAGAGCAGGGGTGGGGAGGGCGACGGGCTCCTCGGAGCTCCTGGGTCTTTAACAACCAGAAGGTTTCGTTTTCATCCAAGCAGGGGATCAAAGAGGTGGCAAGGCACTTCCTCCCCCAGAGCTTCCCTTCTACACACACACACGCCCGGGCCGCGGAGACGGCAGAAACGCCCCTGAGCTGCCCGAATCCCGCGGGCCCGGGAGCGCCGCTGCGGCGGGGAGCGGCCGGGATGCCCGGGAGGAACCCGCCGGGTGGCTGGAGAGGGCGCCTACCTGGGAGGGCAGCGCGCTCACTGCGCGGGGTCGGGCCGGGGCGCGCAGGTGCTCGGGGGCAGCTCGGGGCCGGCCTGGGCGGGCGGGACTTCCATCGTGGCCCTGGGCTGCGAGCTTCCAGCCGCAGGAAGCCGGGAGGAGAGCCTTCGGCTCGGCTCCCGCCTCTTCTCCACCAAGCTGAGGATACCAGGGACCCCGCGGGCGGCGGCGGCAGCAACAGGCACAGCAGCGGCGGCGGAGGAGGAGGAGGTGGAGGAGGAGGTGTCTGCGCGCGGCTCGCGTTTCCTCCTCGCGGGCTGGGCGAGCGCGGGCGAGGCGAGGGGAGGGCAGGAGTGGGGATCTCCCGATTCGGTCTCCCGGGACCTCCGAGAGGGACGCGGCGCCCCCCCCCCCCGACTGCACCGTGTGACTGCGCGAGCGGCGAGGCCGGGACGGGCGAGTCACGGGCGGCCAACAGCTGCTGCACTGCGGGTCCGCCGCGGCCTCCCTCGCCTGCGGGCTTCACCCCTTCCTGACGGTCCATCCCGGGCCCGCCGGAGGCTCCAGCCCCCCCCGGAGGAGGGCGTGGGGAGGGTGTCTGGGGTGCCGTCCCAGCGTAAGGTCCTGGCCGGCCGGACTCCTGGTGCGCAGGGCCCCCGCGCGTGATTAAGGCCCTCGTGGCGGGATGCGCGGTCACACACTCTGTCCTCAGCAACCTATTTATAGCAGGTGGCCGTGCCCGCGGGGCTCTCAGCAGGTGGCACTGCCAGCCCGCTCTTCTCCCCCCCGCCGTGGCTAGCCTCACTTGCACTCTCGCCTTCTCCCTCCGTCAGGGACCTGCACCGAACGGGAAGGCGGCCGAGCCACCTGGCTGCCCCCCACATCACCCCTTCTTCCAGGCCTGCGTTGGATAACCGCAGAGAGTGAAGTGAGGCCACGACAAGCTATGGGGCGCTGGCAGGCAAGGCAGGAAAAGCGAGGGCTCGGGGACGCGGCAAAGGCTGAGGTGCCCTCCCCTACGAAACATCAGGGAGCCGGTTTCTGAACAACTGCAGGGGTGACACAGGGACTGGACTGGGAGCTTTCTCGCGCGTGCACGCGCGCGCACACCACACACACGCGCGCGCGGCGTGCTTACCCCTGGATCAGGTTTGGGAAAGTTCCCAAGCGGCCTTGCAGAGTGTAAGGAGGCACTCCAGGGATATGCAAGATGCTTGGGAAAGTGGGCTTCTAGGGTTAGGGATGGCGATGAGCAGGAAACAGGAACCCTCCCAAATCCCTGCCCCCCCATCTCTCTTTCGTGAGAAGGATGTGAGATCTGAAGAAAGTACCGCACACGGCACAACTCCAGAGATGAGTGAGCGGGAGAGGGGAGGGGAAGAAGAGGGAGACGGAGGTGAGGGGTGGAAGGGGCAGCAGTGGAGAGGCATCGTCGGAGTTACTTTGCTTAGTGTAACTGGAGACCCACGTTAGGGGAGTGGCAGAAAGTTTGGGCTTCAGGGTTGCACTTGAACCCAAACCCCAACTCTACCACTGGTGTGGCCTAGGCAAGCTGCGGGGCCTCCTGTGTCTCACCTGTAGAATGGGTCCAGTGCACACGTTATAGGACCACTGTGAGGACACGTGGGAAGGGGATGTAAAGTGCTCAGTGGTAGGTACAAGGCCTCAACTAATGGCAGCACCTGTGGTTACCATGGAGGCAAACAGAGGTTCAAGATGACTTTCTCCTCATCCCTGTCTCCCGTAGAGTGGGATCCTGTTTGATTAGGATCCCTTTATGAGATTCACTGAGCCCATTCCCCTGGACGTAAGTAAGCATCCAGGGGAGGTATGTTTGAGTGAGACACAAAAGTTTTGTTCACAGCTTGATTTAAAACTCTAGCAGTGGTGGTAGCTACTCTTCATTGAGGGGCTAGTCTATTTGGGACCTTGTGGTAAGGACGTTACATGTATTGTCTCTAGTTCTCACAAAACTCTGCAGAGCAGAGGTGAGTTAAATCCCCTGGACTAATGAAGAAACTAAGTTAAGGCCTCTGGAAAAGCTAGTAGGTGCTGGAACCCCCAAAATCCAAAGCCCCCAATAACATACTTTCTTTTTGGCCACTGTGTAAACTTTCTTACAGCATTTGGCTCATTCTTTGTTATAGCGCAATTGTTTGTATATTTAGCCTCAAATCTTTTCTAAAAAGACGTGAGGAATATATACACAGACATGAATACTCTGAGGACTGGAATGTTCATTGGTCCCAAGGCCAGGTAAACCAGCTATGCCATATTGGCACCTGAGTCACATCGTCATTACTCCACATCTTTATCTCCACCTCGGCTTGACAGTTCACATTCCCTCCCCGGAGCAGCCTGCTGGACACACGTATGTCAAGTGCTTGGATGTCAAGACAAGTACACTGTCATCAATTTCATTGCCACCCTTCAACTGCCTTACATGCGTGCATGACCTGGCAGGTGATGGATGAAACTATGACCTTACAACCCCGCCTGCTAGCCCCTGCCTCTGGGAGAAGGGTTAGTCCAAGGTTGGGCTCTGCTAACATTTTGGTCAGAACCGCCTATCATGCTGCCACTCCCTTCCCTTTTCTTTCCCTCACTTACCCCCTCACTCCCACTCCACCCTCACCCCCAATTCCAGGGTACAGGAAGGCTGCCAGACGGGTGCCTAATCAGGTCACAGAGGTAGGAAGTGAGAGGAGTGGGGGTGGGGGCAGAGGCAGGCCTAGGCAGTGCAGGGGGAACACATGCCTGCCCCACACTCCCCCGCTAAGAACCAGCAAGTTGCAGCTCAGTGACTTATAACTTAGTGGCAAATGACCATTTGCCTGGATCCCCAACCTAGGTTAGGGAAGGGTCATGGCCTTGTACACAGCAGTGATTTCTGCATCATCTTTCCAGTTTCCAGGGTGAGGTAATAGCCTAGGAATGATAGTGAGGGGTTTATAATACAGGAAAAATACACATCTCAGAGAGTAGGATATCGCCCCCTCAGCCTCATTTGCACTTATTTCTAGCAGTTCTGGAAGAAAGCATAAAGGAGACTTGGGGGCTGATGGCAGGATGAAGGGTGTCAAACCAGGAGGGGACATCAAGTTGTCCCAGTGCAGAGTGGAAAGGTAAGAGCTAACCACTCAGGTCTCACCTGTAGGTACCTTTGCTCCAGGAAAGAACAGCTCCCTCCCCTTGTCCTGCTGCTGTGTGACTCAGAGCAGGGCTGGTGTAGGGCCATGCCCGAGGCTGGAGCAGCACGGAGGCCCTGGGGGCCACAGAGGTGTTCTGCTGATAGTTAAGTCACTAAGTCACCAGGAACAAACGTAAGTAGGGAATGGGGCCAAACTCTTCTGTGACTCTGCTTCAGACCCCTGATTCTTATGACTGGTGTGACCCAGGAGCACACAAGGCACGAGGCATTTAGCTGACACCAGTCCCTGACCCCTTGGCTCAGTGAATGAAAACCCCAGACAGAAAGGCTTCCACAATCTTGGCTGCTGCCTTGGCCTTCTGTGGACAACCTCTGCACCTCCCGCTCCTTCTGAAAGCCTGCCGAGGGTCATTCTTCTGGGGCTTTCCCTATAGACTCCTTCCCAAAGTCGTCATTTGCAGCACAATTGATTGTTCATTGCCAAAGGCCATGGACATTAATATTAGGTTGGTTAAAGAGTTCGTGCGGGTTTTTTTTCCATAAAATAAAAGACTTTGTTCATTTTCACCACTAATTCTATTGATTTGGATATTTTGAGTATGTTGACTATCTTCTGCATGGCATATAACATTGATTGTTCTCAATTAATGTCTCTATTTGATCTCCATCAACTTCAACTGGTCTACCCAGCCATGGAGCGTTGCCCAGCAAGAAACCTCCAGCATAAAACTTCGCAAATCACTTTTGACATAGTCCACCAGTTACAGCACCTTCTCCATATACTGCATAAATCATCTTTTGCATTTCAGCTGCATTTTTACCTATCTTGAAATAATTAAGCACAATATGCCAAAAATGTTGCGCATTTTCTTCCATTTTCAATATTAAAATAGCTATACAAAAATTTACCCATTTTAATGTTTTCTTTTTAAATGCACACTGATATGACAACTGTCACAACACAATCAAACAAAATTGTTTCAAATGAAATTAAGGACAACTAAGCACTACTAGAGCTGCCTTACAAAAACAAACAAACAAAACAAACAAAAAAACGAACTTTGTGGCCAACACAGTATCAACTTGTAAAGGGCTGCAGAGCTCTAGAAAACGGTGATCCACTGATGCACTAAAGCAAGTGAGAAGCTCAGATGCTGAAAAAAAACAAAACCAAACCCAGAAAACAAAAAAACAGAGGCCACTTGACTTGTAAAAAATTAAGAGAAGCATGGATAAATCTAGAATGAAAAGTCTTTAAGTAGAAAAGAGACCTTTAATAAAATTACTCAATATTTTTAGCTCTGTTGGTTATTGAGTGTTTATATAAGTTAGAAATCCAAACTTTATTGCTATGATGCGTTTTCACCTCACTTCCAAATATACATAATAGGGTCAGAGTTCCTGACTACTGGGTCTTCCAAAGTTGGAGTAAATAAAGGCAAGGAGTTAAAATAATCCTGGGTAGAAGCCTGGAGCAGTTCAGTGCGGGTGCTGGTGCTCATGAGCTGGCAGTGACTTTCTGGACCCCAGGACTGCCGGTGACACCGGGGATGTCAGGAGAAGGTTCCGAAGGCGAGTGCGAGCTCAGCGGGAAAGGGTAGGAGACTGAGAAGCAGCATGGGCCTCCAGCACGGGAGGAGGCCGTACCATAGCTCCGGTGCTGGGTGGTTTGACAGCCGTGCCAACCTGAGACGTAACCATTCACATCTAAAAAGTACATGAAGTCATTCCCAACTGTCCTAATTAGCTGTAAGAAATATTGTTCATGACAAGTAAATGGGTTGAAGTCAAGGTCAGAGTCCATTTCATTGACTTGCCCCTGGAATTGCTTTCTGAAAGGCATAAGAATGACAAAACGCAGTGGGATCATAAAGAATAAATAAAACAAGCAGATAACCAATGCAGATTTTGGAACTTCAGCAGTTTAGGTAAACACGAATTTTACTGCTGAGAGAACTCATGCTTACAGGGGGCGGGGGAGTGGTGGGGGGAAACCACATAAACCTGTGTCATGTGAGGACAAGTGGACTGTGTCTGCGCCCCAGGGCCAGCTTCTGTGAAGAGTCCAACCTCCTTTTATGGACAAAGCAGATAAAACTCTGGGCTCTGGGTCCACTTCCCTTTTCAGTTCCCTCTCCTGTTTGTTAAATCATCGCTCTACACAAGCCACAGTTACCAGCAGCTCTCTGATAGCATGCAGCCTCTACTCGGGGGTCCCATTCGCCACCTGAGCTGGTTTTGTGGGTGTGGGCTTCCAGAGCAAGGCTGAGCAGGTGCTAGGGGGCACATCCCCCTAAGACGTGATATTGAAAGTTGCCTGAGGTCTGTGAGAATTTCTTTGCAACTGTAAGAGTTATGGTCTCAGGGATGTTGTCCAGACTGGTACAATGACTACGCTTCCACCACTGCAAGACCCCCAGTTCATT